CACATAGTCCCATGAGGTTGACGCTAATCGCTTGTAAGTTCCTTTTGCCCCATGTCAGCAGATCGGGCCAAGTAAGTATCCCTAAAAGTCTAGGAACCAAATCATTAGTGCGAGCGTGAGCTTTCCTGCGTCCAGTTACTAGAAGCTTTAGGAGCTTAGCTTACTCCCTTACTTGAATAAGTAGTGCCCTACTTAATTAAGTGAGGAGGCAGGGCCACGGGCAAACGACAACCAAAACAAGCTTTCTGAGTCAACCCATTAATGCTTGAACCAGCTTTGGGGTCTGCCCATTTTGAGAGCCAAGTCCACATCGGCTCATGTTCCTTCTTGAGCCAAGCCAGCCAACGTATGGAAGCAACATGAAGCAAGTTGACTAGCCCCAAATTTTGAGCTAGTCGCCGCCGCCTCTGTTCGCGAACAATTTTGGCTCCAATGCGGGACAATGTTGCCTCAAATACTGACGGCACTCCTGAGCAACTCCCCGGCAGCCAAATTATTGTATCCTCTCGTCTTGCTTTTGAAGCTTGCTATACTGTATGAGTTAGGTGCGTTGATCAGGCGTGTGATAGTGATTGAGGTTTGTGAGTAAGTGGATTGTAGTGCGAGTAATTGTTGTGTGTAGGAGGAGAAGGAAGATGAGGTGGGGAGGTAGGAGGAGAGGAGGAGGAAGAGGAGGAGGAGGAGGAGGACAACAGCGTGGGAGTAGAACAAAACATAACTAAAACCAAAGGGAAACAAACTAAGTTGTGGCGAGAAAGGGTAAGAAACCTGGAAACATGATTTTCACAGAGAGCATCAGAGAGCAACAAGCCCAGCCTTGGACAGGACGCTAGAAGGCTAGAAAGCTAAACTTATATCCGCATACTGTATGTAGGTTGCAGTAGTGTACTGTACTTCAAAACATGGAATGTTCGCCGTTTGCTGCTTTCTCTCACTTGATCTCAGGTCCTGACCTGATTTTTCTTGAACACGCGCTTTGAGCAGCTCACTTGTTATTTTTTACTGTAAAAAATAATCACATGCTTCAATTGAATTTCATTGATACATATAAAGCTACAACTATAGTCAATCATTTGAGGTAATTATTTGATATGATATTTTGTAAACTCGTGTCATTCAAGGACGCTGGGTCTATCTAGATCAATAGGACCACCCGTGACCCCTTTCCCCCCTGTGTTTCATCCATTGCCCGCCATCCTTTACAGACCTATGCCTTCGTAGACACGTCCTACCTTATCAAAGTATCCAGACACCTGCTAATGATTCTACTGATACCATTCTCACTTGTGCAATTTTATCCTTGATCAGGCTCTGGACGTGTAAATGTGGATGTATATGTATATGACAAAGGTCTCCTCCTTTATTAAAAGCCTTGGTCTTCATGAAAGGTTGCTCCATCATGCGGACTTTCACCTTGGTAGTTGTTTCCCTGATGTACATTTAGTTTGTAAGAAAATCATACACAGTAACAACCTAGCCAGGCAGGAAGCAACCACAGACTGTTTACGCAGGAGGGTGACCACTGAAAGAACAACAAGTCTTGATGTTTGTTGCAACGGCCAATCAATCCTCAAAAAACGCACGATGTGCCATGCCACAACATCCAGGTGAGCCCAATTTCACAGTGTACTATGTCATGCTGACAAAATCAATTATAAGTTTTGTGCGTTTGGTGCTATTGCCCCTGCAGTAGGATCACGGACAGCAGATTACATATTCGCAAGATCAGCGTTACGCCAACCAAGCCGCACTGAACGAGGACGTTTGGGGTGAAGCTGCATTGCATATCTTGAAGCTCATAGCGCAAGAGCTACCGAGGCGAGCAACCGTCAGCAATTTGCCATATAAATGTGGGGGTGAGCAAACACTTAAACATAAATCACTATCATCGAACATGCATGGCTGTAGCTGGAAACATCTGGAAACCAAGCATTGGATCGGGGTATCGATTGGGATTTGTGTTTTCAAGATGTTGACTTCCCCGTGTGTACTCGGCACAGCCACGGCTTCAAGAGCATCATCCACATTTTTCAGGCGAGGGCTTTTGAAGGAATTTGAGTGTCAAAGCAAATTGCTTTTATTCAACTCTTCTTTTAGGGGGTGTAGGCCGCTACAGGTAGCTAGTAGAAGCTAGGTAGCTAGTACCTACAAGTAAGCTACTAGTATGGAAGCAGGATAGCTCACGCTTCTTCAAGGAAGCTCCCCCAGCCGTTTCGGTTCACAGCTACTCGGCTTACGCGGCGGACACCCGCCGGGGTGCGGCCACCTGTCCACACAGGGGTTGCACGTCAACAGAGCAGGCCTTCAACGGGGCCTGCAGTGTCCACTCTGTCGAAGATGGCTAAGAAGAGTGATGAAGGACACCATGCCGCTAGAAGCTTGGTTGAGTGGGCTACGATGGGGCTCCGGTCTGCTCTTGGAGAGACGGTCACCAATGCCTTGGTGGCAATCGCCGGTGAATGCAGAGCTAGTGATCAGGACTGGATCCTTTTTGGGGAAGTGCTCTCCTCACGGGATGGTCCTCCCTTCTGTGCCCAGGTTCGTCGTGTTTCGCTGCTGTCTTCGAAACCAGGTTTTGGGGGTGAGCAGTGGACAAATTTTGACTTGATTTGCCCCACTCCTCATGTTCGAGTTGTCTTCACTGCAGGGATGCTGATAGGTGTTTTCACCAAGCCGGCTAATCGACCAGGGCAGAACTAAGTGATTGCTGATGACACGGTTCCAATTTGGAACATCTCCACCTTTGAACGCTGCCTTGCATGGAATGTGACCCACCTTTTCTCAGGGGCCTACGAAGGTTGGTTGAGGGCTATGTGGTGGCTTCAGCAAGCCAACATCGGCCTATCCTTTGCAACACATACATCGGTTGACTGGTGCCCTGATGTCATGAAGACTTGGAGCTTCAATCATGGGAAGGAGTTCATGAGCTGCCCAGTGCCTGTGAATTTTGCTTCTACGGAGGTTTTCAATGGCTTCTTGGCCGACATAAGTGACAGGACATTGCCGCCATGCCCCAGCTGGAGTCGTGGAGGGAAACATTCTGGATTAGCCACTGATGAAGGATTTTGCTTCCTTGATGCAATTGAGCATGTTGCCAGGACTAGGCCGGACCTTGCCCTCTTCGAGTGTTCAGACGGGATTGAAGCACATCCCCACTGGAGGGTGCTGACAGCGGCCTTACAGTTGGCTGGATACCAGAAGCTATGGTCCCAAGATGTTGCAATCCATCAACTGACTGGAAACCACCGAACCCGGTGGCTGGCTGTATGGGCTCGGCATGACGTTCAAGGTCAGAAGATCCATGAAAGGTTTGTCTGTTCGATTCCTCGTCGGCTCAGCTGGCGTGATGAGAAACATCAGCATCTTCTTCCTAGTGCCTTGGCTGAAGACCTGGTCTTGAAGCCCCCTCAAATGTTGATCTATGGTGATCGAAACTTGCTACCACCGGCAAAGAGGAGTAGAGTAGGGGAGGATGCCTCGACTGAGCAGGTTCTCACGCAACGGCTAGTCCAACAGAGTGAGTATTTGCCAACGTTGTGTGCATCATATTCTTGCCAGCACCTTTTGCAGCAAGAGCATTTGATTTCCAAAGGGATCTATGCTTCGTTGATCTCCAAAAATGAGCAGTTTTGCTTCATTGACCCCTTCACTTTTGTGGTCCTGTTTGGCACTTCTGACTCGATTGGTCTCCCGACAGACCTTCGTAAAGCCTTCCACCAGCTCGGTAATGCCATCACTCAGATCCATGCTTTGATTCCAATTGTAATTGCCATGGAGGGTGTCACGGGGGAGAACTTCCAGAAGCTTTCTCTTGTCCAGCAATGTTGGGATGACAGGCTCACGATCGATAAAGCACTGATCAGAACATGGGATGATATGTATGTCCTCCTAACCACTTGCCGATTTTATTGCGAAGGCAACTCCAAGTGTTGCAACTTGGCAACCATGGCTTGCTGGCCACACAATGATTCGCTTTTGTGATGATCTTTCGTTGATCCCCTCAACATTGCGGATTCTCTGAAAGCACACGAGCAGATTCTCCACAGCCTTGACCTGGCCGACCACCATGCTTCCTTGATTCATTTGATTGGGGAAGGTCATGTTCTGCCAAGTGGCATCTCATGGGGTGATCTTCCCAATGGTGAACTTACTGTGAAGATTGGTGATCTGACTCTTTGCACTATCCGTGTCATTCAGACCCAGCACGTCGACTACATGGATGATCCAATCGTGTCTCCGACACAACCCTGGATAGAGGATGATGAGGACATTGAGTTTGATTACCTCCAGGATGCTAGCCGCACCGGCTTTCTCCATGTTGTCGAATATCTCTGTCAGGACGATTCCCCACGCCAGGTGGTCAAAGTCCTTCTGCTACAACAAGATGGATCATCGGAGTGGAGTCAAGGCGCAAACCTTGACCGGTTGGGAAGCATCCCAGCTTACCGTTCCCCAGATCAGGACTTCTACTTCTTCAAATGCAATCGTGATGCGTGTCACCAATTGCTGGGTATTCATGTTGTCATGGCCATCCAGGGGCAGTACGACCCTTTACACTCCAATAAGTGGATTCTTCTTGCAGGAGGGAGCAGCTTACGCTGGTGCAAAATCTGTCAAGCTCCGCGCACCATAACTCCAAGCCAATGTGACGCACTCCTTGGGCAACAGTGCCATATCACCATGCGTAATCTGGTCACCTGCCGACCTGATGAGCCACTTATGCTTATCAATGGTGATGTATTATGGAGTGACACTCGTGTTCATGACGTAGCTTCAATTGCCTTTGGTGGAACGGATCGCCTTTCTGACCGGCCCAATGATGAAATTCTGGCAAGATTGATGCAATTCAACTTGGAGCCAGGATCCTTGGCTATTGATGAGGTGGTCTTCCACTTTGACATTCTCCAGGTACTGCAGCCAGGGATCTGCTGGTGTGCCCCGGGTAGCTGGGTCAACAATGAATCCCAATTTCGGTTGCCCACTGAGCCCGTTGACTTGCAACGGTGCTACCAGCATTTTGTCGTGCCAATTCTGGTGGTTTTTGACTGGATCTTTGTTGAAGTGAGATTCTTTGAGGGCCGACGCCTCGTTTCGGAACCTGGATTCGTCTCGTTTCCGAACCTGGATTCGTCTCGTTTCGGAACCTGGTCTGGGAAGTGGTTTCTGGGAAGTGGTTTCTGGCAAGTGGTTTCTGGCAAGTGGTTTCTGGGAAGTGGTTTCTGGGAAGTGGTTTCTGGGAAGTGGTTTCTGGGAAGTGGCTTCCGGGAAGTGGTTTCCGGGAAGTGGTTTCTGGGGAGTGGTTTCTGGGGAGTGGTTTCTGGGGGCTGGTTTCTGGGAAGTGGTTTCTGGGGGCTGGTTTCTGGGAAGTGGTTTCTGGGGGCTGGTTTCTCGGAAGTGGTTTCTGGGAAGTGGTTTCTGGGGGCTGGTTTCTGGGGAGTGGTTTCGGGGGGGTGGTTTCTGGGAAGTGGTTGCTGGGAAGTGGTGTGGTTTCTGGGAAGTGGTTTCTGGGAAGTGGTGTGGTTTCTGGGAAGTGGTTTCTGGGAAGTGGTTTCTGGGAAGTGGTTTCTGGGAAGTGGTTTTTGGGAAGTGGTTTCTGGGAAGTGGTTCTGGAGACTGGTTTCTGGTGACTGGTTTCTGGGAAGTGGTTTCTGGGGACTGGTTTCTGAGAAGCGTTCTTTTTTTCAGGGGGTGGTGGTGAAGGCCTAAGTCTAACCCACAGACATCCTAAAGAGGCAAGGCCCTAAGCCAAGCCAAAAGAAACCGTGGCCCTACAGGAGCGAGACCCCAAGCAAAACCAAACCAAACCCTAAAGAAGTGAAGCCTTGAGTCAAACCCACAGACATCCTAAAGAACTGAAGCCCTCAGTGAAACCGAAAGACATCCTAAAGAGCAAAGCCCTAAGGCCTGAGGCAAACCAACCCCCCTGAAGAAGTGAAGCCCTAAGTGAAACCCAAGACATCCCAAAGGAGCCCTCACGTGAAGGCCTAAGTCAAATCCAAAGACATCCTCAAGAAGTGAAGCCCTAAGCTAAGACCAAAGAAACCTTAAAGGAGCGAGGCCCGAAGCAAAACCAAAAGAGACCCCAAAGAAGTAAAGGCTTATTCGACCCAAAGACATCCTAGAGACGCAAAGCCGGAAGCCCAACCACATGAAACCCTAAAGGAGTGAAGCCTGAAGCAAAAGAAAAAAGACTAAAGAAGTGAAGCCCTAAGCCCCTCTCCACTGAAGCCCTAATGCCAACCCAAAAACATCTTAAAGAAGCAAGCCCCTAAGGCAAACCAAACGAAACCCTAAAAGAGCAAAGCCCTGAGCAAAACCAAACCCAGCTTCGCCAAAGCACGTAATTACCACGACCATGTGCACAAAACACAAAATGTTGAGCAAGAGATGCTGTTGAATTTGTGCCAAAGACATCCTAAAGAAGTGAAGCGATAAGGCAGGCCAAAAGAGACCCTCAAGAAGTAAAGCTCTAAGTCACAACCAAAGACATCCTAAAACAGCAAAGTCCTATGGCAGACCAGCCAGCAACCCTAAAGAAGCGAAGCCCTAAGTGAAACCCAAGACATCCTAAAGGAGCCCTCACGTGAAGGCCTAATTCCAGCACAGAAACATCCTAAAGAAGCAAAAGAAAACCTAAAGGAGCGAAACCCTAAGCACAACAAAACAGATCCTCAAGAAGTGAAGCCCTGAGTCAAACCCAAAGACATCCTGAAGAAGTGAAGCCCGAAGCTAAGACCAAAGAAACCGTAAAGCCGAAGCCCGAAGCAAAACCAAAAGAGACCCTAAAGAAGCGCAGGCTTATCCGACCCTAAGACACCCTAATAGCTGTGGGTTTTGCAGGTGTAGAGATACAGGTGTAGATATGTAGGTGTTGAAACACCTACCAAAAACACCCACTTAATCTCACCTACGACAACCACTTCTTTATAAGTGTCTTCTATACTCTTACGGCGGCGGGCAGGTCCGGCCGGAGCTAACGTAACATGACCCTCTACGAGGATCGCGCGTGCCAAGTGTTGAAACGTCTAGTGAAA